CCACTGGAAAACAAACTGTAGGGTAACTGATTTATATACATTTGTATATGTGTGTTTCACCAATTGTAACAATTTCTGTGTTGAAATGAATCTGGCCTCTGCAGAAGGAACCTAACTGGTCTGTATCCCTATGTACCCTGCAGAGTAAATAGATACTGTATTCTAAATTTAAAGCAGCCAACTGAAAGTGCTATAAACTTATGCCTAGTCATAGGAGAACAGCGGTGTGGATCTAGGTGGTGATCTTGAGGTTAAGATGTAAAACGAAAAAGGAAAAATGAGTGGGAAATATAAGAAAGGAAGACAAAACATGAGAGACTCCTAACTCTGGGAAACGAACTAGAGGTAGTAGAAAGGGAGGTGGGCGGGGGGGGGGGGTGTCTGGGTGACGGGCACCGACAGGGGCACTTGATGGGATGAGCACTGGGTGTTATTCTATATGTTGGCAAATTGAACACCTATAAAAAAATAAAAAGAAAAATTCTAGAACTTCACCAATGTGGATGACAGAATTGGTCCAAGAACCTGTTAGAGAGAATGCTGTTCGGAGGCCCTTGGGATAATTGTGTAGTAAGAATGATGGAAACCATATCCCTATTTTAACCTCTTTACAAAGAAACTCCCATGTTTGAAGATGACCTCAAATCAAGGGAAAAATTTTGAAGTAAAATAATTTGCCACTGAACATTCTTGGCATACTCCACGAGTGTGCAGTGAAGCAAGCTCACTACAAAGAGATTATATAAAGGGGTAAAATTGAATATAGTCAGAACGTCAGGGTATCCTATTAGAGATGGCATATTCCCCCACCCAATTCAAACACACCTAGTTTCTTCCTCCAGAGTTAAAGCAAATCATTGTGGGTTTTCGTGGGGGTAGTAGAAGAAAGTAAAAAAGAAAACAAAAAAAAAAAAAAAAAACTAGACTCTCACTCAGCAAAGTATAACACATCTGGGAAGCACTCCAAAGCTGAGAGCTCTTGAAGGAACAGTAAACTCGTGTCACCCTTTTAGTCCTGGGTGCTGGGTTGGGGGTGGGCATGCCAGGCCAGGCTCTGGAAGTTTTAGTGTTTTATTTGCTTCTGTCTTTTTCTTCGAGCATATGTAACTGAGTGTGCTTCATCTGTACAGGGAACACAGCTCCATTTGTAGTGCCCCTTGTTTTTCTTTCTCGTTTCCTATTAAAGCGTAAGCACTTCAAGTATTTTTGGTACCTTCAGAACAGATCAAATACATACACCCCAAATGGTGATTGATACTTTCAGTCAGTAAATGCTATCACTTCCTCCTCTCCCTGGGAGATCTCCTTGCCTCTGGCAGTCCCAAGGTTTTCCTTGCTGTGCCTGTCCTCACAAGAGCAGCCTCACCTGTCCCCTCCGCTTCACTGCAGTCCTGTCTGAGATGAGGCAGATGGAATCCTTTCCCTGCAACCCCCTGGTCCAGAGCCGAAGCATCACCTTCCCCTCTACTTCTCAGTATTTCCAGATCCCGAGAGCCAAGTTCAGATGTGAGTTCCACCAGCTCCGTTTAGGGACTGTGAGCGTGTTACCTCACCCTCATATCCGGGCACTCAGGTGCAGATGTTTTTATGTTTCGCTCCCATTCCTTTGGTTCATTCAGCAAATAGCTTTACCTCCAGAACAGCGTAATTACTGAGTATAATTTAAATGAATAAAACAAACTAATGCATGCCTACAATTTGCCAGCTGGTGAACAAATAGAGGACACCCCTGTTTCCACAGAGCTCACAGTCTGTAGAGGATAAAGAACAGTAAACAGGGTATAGTGTGATTAGTCCTTTGATTTAGGAGTAAAGGGAACACATGAACTTGGTACCGAACCCAAATTTAAAGTGTTAGGGAAGATTCCCTAAAGTATACCTAAGCTGAAACAACAAACAAGAATTAGCACATGTAGAGGCCCTGGGTGGTGCAGCTTGTTTAGTGTCTGATTCTTGGTTTCGACTCAGGTCGTGATCTCAGGGTTATTAGATTAAGTTCCTTGTTGGGCTCTGTGCACAGAGTTTGAGTAAAGACTCTTCCTCTGCCCTTTGTGCTCATTTGCTCACTCTCTCACTATCTAAAATTCTAAAAAAAAAAAATTAAAAAAAAATTAGCACATAAAGAGGACAGGTGTGTCCTTGCAAAAGCAAGCAGCATGTGACGAGGACCCAACAACACAAAAGAGAACCTGCCACATTTCCAACAGCAGGGGAATCTCCTGTAGCTAGAGTGTGTCAGGCATGGGAAGGAGTGGCAAGAATGAAAATTAGAGACAGAAGTGTAGCTCACAACAGGCCATCTGCATAAGCTTACCAGAGGATTTATATTTGCCTCTCTATGCAGTGGAGGCAGAATGAGAGATGCTGGTGAGAAGCGGCCAGCAGCCTGAGCCAGGGTGGCAAAGACGGTGTGTGTGTGTGTGTGTGTGTGTGTGTGTGTGTGTGTGTGTGTGTGTGTGTGTGCAGTGTCTGAGGGACATCTGAAGGTGAAGGGAAGTTTGTTGTCATTTTAATGTCGGAGAGGACTTATTAGTTGAAGGGGTGACAGAAAGGAACCGGCCACAAGAAATGAAGATTCAGAAGGAGCTGTCTCTGAGAGGAGGTGTAAGAGTGTGTGACTGCAAAGAAGCATCGGGGATGGTGGTTTAGATGTGTTTAGATTTATAAGTTCATGCAAAGGACTTCAAAGACCTTTCCACTTGTTGGCTTTTGTGTTCTCTGGAGTAGATGAGGTCTTCTACTAAGCTTGAGGTGGTGATGGTGACACCAGAAGTTGGGTTCACTCTGCAGATTTTTATCGAGGGCTTGCTTTATGGGGATGGTAAGTGACATAATATGATTCCTTCCCTCATGGCGCCTCTGTCTAGTGAGAAAGACAGGCCATGAAGCAATGTATTACCCAATGGTTGAATTATGACTTTTGAGTATTGAGAAGATATACACGATGCTCTGAAAACATAGAGGAACATGACAGACAGGGGCAGGACAGACTTTCAGGCTTGCTTGAGGAAGATCTGTTTGAACTAAACTCACTAGCCCTCCAAATCAATAAAATGCTGTCACTGTAATATATGAAAGTTAAAAGAGTACTTACAATAAAACATTATCTGTTTCAGTATGTAAATGCTTAGACATGACTAGAAAACTGAATGAAGTCAGATGTCTGCATGTACCTATAATAAGGCTGGATTCAATAGTAGTAAGAGCAGGAACCATTCTATATGAGAAAGTACAGGAAAATGGAAGCCCTACAGATGGAGGAAAATAGGAGAATAAAGACTAGTGACTAGATAGGACAGGAGAGACTAGTGAGCTCCATCAGCTCTGAATTCCATTCCGGGGCATAAATGGGATATTAGAGTATTTACTCTAAAAGGGAGAGTTAGGTGCCTGGGAGTTCCAGCAGTCCCTGGAAAGATGGATGGTGTTAGTGAGTGACCAGCAGGGGGGACAGGTCTCTTGATACCAGGTGAGGGCAGCAGAGCAAGAAAGTCACGGCCCCCAACCCCAACTTCATCTTTGCTCACACTTTTCCCTCCAACCAGGATGCCCACTCTTTGTCCACCTGCATGGTCTTCATTGCCCAGCATAAAACCATATTCTTTTCAAAGGCCGTAAGAGGAAGTAGGCAAGGAGAATAGGCACGAATACCTGGATCCTGTGCTGGGTGCGATGCATAAGTTATTCACATATTCCTCCCAAGAGAAGGCAGCATGATTACTTTCCAAGTTAGCATCAAGTCTGATCAAGGCTCGAGGACTTTAACTTTCTCAGTGACGTAGTCCTCTCAGGCTGCTGTAATGACATACCACCACCAAGGTGGCCTATAAACAACAGGAATTGACTTCTCAAAGTTCTGGAGGTTGGCCATTGGAGATCGGGGTGCTAGCACAGCTGGTGACGGCCCTATTCCAGGTCACACACATCTGGTTGTTGTGTCTTCACAGGCTGCAACCGGAGGGAGCTCTATGGAATCTCGTTTATAAGAGCACAGATCCCTTCCTGAGGGCTCCACCCTCATGACCTAAGCCTCTCCTAAAAGCCCCACCTTCTAACAGCTTGGGCTTTAGGATTCTAACATGTGAACTTGGGGTGAGGGGCACACCCTTCAGACCCTGATGTTCACCATCACCAGGGGAAGTAGTAGTGAAGAAGGGACTCTAACTCAGGGCAGTCTGGACCTGTAGCTTGGTCTGCGCACACACCACCATTAAATGGACCCTGATGGCAGAGTTGCAAGATGCTAGCCATTTGGGGCTTGTGACCTTCTAACTTGTTTTCGGACTCCTACGTGAAATCGCTTTTTGTTTTGCCCCCAGTCTCATAATCATTTTGTGTGATTCTCTCAATCCAGTTACTTTCTTTGAAGGCAGAGTTCACTTTTATTCTCCACAGCATCTACAATACGCCTTGTCCATTATGGGTGTTTAATATGTATACACTACACTGACTGACTTAAACATGTAAGGCCTGTGCCAGTTTTCAAATGCTTAAGGACCAACTGAAAACATAATGTAAGGAGAGTTACCTTGACCAAGTGAACTGTGGCTGATGGTTCTGTAAAGTTAAAATGCATCATGAGATTTGTATCTAAAGTAAAATTAAGGTTCAAAGGTGTTCTTTCAGTAAGCTCTAAAAACATTTAAAATGAAACACTTTGTGGCTAGACTGTGCACTTCCACTTTTTCAGGCCTACATAATTTTTTAAGGCTCTTCTGGATACCATCACTTGTTGATATACTCAGGTACTCTTGGATATGTTTCATTGAAAACAAGTATTTCTAATATTTTTAATGGAAAGGCAAAGATTTAAATTTCTGTTGTAAGAACGTAACAAAAGAACCAGCTTTTTCTTATGTACAACATAACTAGAGATGGTCTTCCCTTGGGATGCAGAGCTGGATCCTTGGTCCCAGTCTGTCTTATGGATCCATGTGAATTACAGGTGTGTCTATATGGTGTTTTGTTTAATAACACATTTATATTATCCTGTTTTTTAGGTCCTGTGGGAGTGGGTTTGAATGAACTGAAACGAAAGCTGCTCATCAGTGACACACAGCACTATGGTGTGACTGTACCCCGTAAGTTTCCTGCTACCCGACATACTCCGACAGCACTGATAATGATCGGTCAGCACTGACATAGCAAGGTGGCACTCAGCACTGTCCCAGGCATTCAGCATCTGAACTCACAACAGCCCTAGCAAATATTCAGCAACACTCTCTACCTTTCACAGTGGAGGAAACTGAGGCATGGAAGTGAAGGGATTGCCCCAGAGTGCAGAGACCACTGGCAGGACATTTGTTAATTACAGCTTCTCTAGCTCTCAGTTTTTATGGTGAATTTTAATACACATATGACACTAAATTAGTATTTACAAATTTTCTCCTAAATAAAAGCCTAACTCTTTTTATTTCCTAAAATAAGTGCTAATGTTTTCCAGAGGTTTTCACCAGGTTTAAGATCAGAAGGACCAAGCCACAGAGAGCCGAAGGAGGCCTCTTTTAATATAAGCCTTTCTTAATTACTTTTTATATGTAGTAATTGGCAGATGGTGTTAAATGGGCCTTTCATGGCCATATAATCCAAATATGGTGGGCTTCTTTTTCAGTATACAGAATTAGATCTATTTTTATAAAAGAAGTTTTCATAGGCTTTCTTACAAGTGAAATGTGATGCCGGAAGCATTTTGATCTCCAGAATAAATGCCATTTGACTACTTAATATGTTGACGTTAGAAAGCCGTCTAAAAGGCTAAAATTGAAATGTTGGCTTTTTCAAGTGGTTTTAGTACTGTTTAAAACAAAACAAAACAAAAATCACAACTGTTTGTGTATTGCCCTGAGCAGTGTTCTCTAGTTTTGTAAGAATTCAACTTTATTTTAAAATTGTTTTCTCTTACCTCAAGTTATTCCTTGTTATGACATTTTTCCAAATTATTGTTTATAATCATTTTCAGCCATACATTATGAGGCTGTTGGTTTCCACCAACAGAGATGAAAGTAAAGGAAAATGTGAAAATGAGAGTTAAGCAGTGGGTTTTTTCTTTTCTTTCTTTTTTTTTTTTTTGACTTTAAGTATTCACTTCTTTTGCAAAAGCTGAATTGTAATATATGGATAATGTAAGAATTTTGCAAAACAATTGTCAGTCCTACAGGTGAGGAGTTCCAAAGCACCTAGAGGGGTAGAAAAACATTACAAAGGGGAAAAAATGCATGTGTTAATTTCCCACTGTTATTCCTCTCCTTTATTTGCCTTAATTTATCTCCTCCTCCCCAGAACTGGGCGACACCTACAAGCCACAGAGGAAGCAGGGAGAAAAGATAGGGGATTTACTCAGAGCTGTACATGTGATAGTTGCACCCACCATGTTTCCAATTTTCATGTCCCTCATCCTATGCAACACTACACAGTCTTTTCCAAGTATAGATACTCTTTATTGTTGCACAGTTAGTAATAAACATCGATTTATTTGGAAGATGATAAATACCAGTAAGGCTGTCTGTCAAACATAATCCTTTATGACCTTTTTGGTGTTACTCAAGGACCCAGGGCATAAATTTATCCCTGGACTTGGGCCCAAATTTATCCAACAATTCGGATACTATCTACCTCTGAGGTTGTTACAGAGATTGACAATATCCAGAAAGTTTCTGGGGCTGGGACTCTCCAAAGAAATCCCCAAAGTAGTACTTTTCCACTCAGATTCACTTTTAAACAGGTGTTAATGTCAGTGGATCCCCACAGAGCAGTGTTTTCCAGACCGCCTGATAATAAAAATCTCCTGGGCTTCTTAGGAGAAGATTCCAAGGATTTTCAAAGAGATTCTCCTTCAGGAAACCTGACGGAATGCCTGAAAATCTATTTATATGTCCCAAGTGACTCATAACACTAGACATTTGTGGAAAATAACAGCCATAGCATCAACTCCGGATGATTTAATTAATTACTCAGAAGAATATATTTTAAGAACAGTTTTGGAACTTTAGATTGTTTGGCTTTGTAAAATACTCCAAGTAGAGTCTTGATTATCTAGAGAAAAATTATAGCCTTGATTATTCCACCAGTATTCGATGTTTAACTGTAAATCTTTCCCCCAACTGTACTAACTATTCACCAGAATGGTAAGCTGGAAATGATGTGGTGCACTGGAACAATCACACATTGCTGGTGGAAGTGTAAATTAATTCACCCACTTTGGAAAAATAACTGGCAGTATCTACATCTGAGCGAACCTATATCCCATGACCCTGCAATTCCACTTCTAGTACACAGCCAACAAGAGATGCACGCAGCATGCACTCGGATGGTCTTAGAAACGTTATTCACGAGAGCCCCAAGTTGGAAACAACCCAAATGCCCAGCAGTAGTCGATTGGACAGGTACTCCATGCTATATGCACATAACGGAAGACTGCAGTGCACAATTTGCTGCTACGATGCCGATGCCGCAATATGAATGAATCCCACCAAATGTTGAGTGAAAGGAGGCAGAGACAAAAGATTCCATTTTTACAACACAAAGCAATGCTAACATGTGGCATTAGAAATCTTGAGGAGGTGGGTTAGAAGAGTGGTTTTGGAGTGCTGATAATGTTGTATTTCTTGGTAGAGTGCTGCTTACAGAATCTGTGAAAATTCAGGCTTACATGTGAACTTTTCTACATGTCATACTTCAGGTTTTTGAATGTTAAAAAGAAATACTTGGTACTTTCGTTCACTTTGGTTTGCTAATGTCAATTTTCTGGTCTCAACTGTACTACAGTTATGGTAGATGAAAACCTCCCTTTATTGGAGAAAGCTGAGTGATAGTTACATGGGATCTTCTCTAGGCTGTTTTGCAATTTATTGTGAATCTATAATTATTGCAATAAAAAAATTATTTAAAGGGATGCTAAATGAGGTAAATGCTATTGCTCTTGGGCTAAAATGGCAGAACAAATTCTATGATCTTTACAAAATATCTACTTCACCACATTAAACATTCCAAGTTGCTTTTAAAGAAGGTGGTGGCTGAGGCCCGTTTTCTGCTGGTTTGCTTCTCCGTGGCAAATTTCACCTCAATGAGCAGCATCAACACTGTTTTAAGGTTCTAGGTTATCATCAACAAATTTTAATGACTATATAGCCAGTCTTTCAAAGGCCGTCTCAGTGAATTAAAGTAGTTAACAAAAAGTATTGCTGTAGATGTCAAATACTTGATGGATTCCAAAGTCTTTATAGCCTGGAATTTGGGCACTCACAGTCAACCACACCTGTTAATCACTTTGTGGTTTCTCATGAAGGCATATATCACAGTTATATGTTTTCATAAGTTTCAAGGAACTCCTCTTCTGTAACACTTCTTTGTCCATAGAAAACCTCAGTTGAGATTTCTAAAATATATATGTGTGTGTGTGTATATATGTATGTATGTGTATATATGTATGTATATATGTGTGTGTGTATATATATATATGTATATATATATATTAGGGTACCAATTTAAAAAACAATTTTTTTTCTTATCATAGCAGTTGTTTGGGAATTTTGTTGGAAGCAGCAGAAGGTGGAGTTCGTCTCATATTTGTTTGATGTTTGTCTTACACTGTAAACATAGTGGGTACTCAGATAGTGAACTATAGTGAGGTTGTGACCTGCATTGTGATTAATATGTGAATCTTTCCCTTTGAATTCCCTTCCCTTAAGAATTTCCAGATCTCTTATTCAGGATTCCTCACTGTTAATGAGTTTGTGAGATTCCTATGGTATGTCACTATATTTTACATTAAAATTCTTCAACAGTAAAATTAATAATTTGGGGTGATCATGATAAGCAAACACTCTAAGAGTAGATATGTTCACTTTTAAATGTGTTTGGCAGGGTCATACATGTCCTATTCACTTGATGGAGTTCTGTTTCTGCTTTTAACCCTCCCAAGGGGACTCCATATGTCAGGGCGGTGATCCTTGATACTGTGTGTCCCACGTTTTTCAAAGTGTTTCTTCCATTACAGTTGAATAAAGATAACCTTTCTTCATCAGAGACAAATTAATGCACATAAAATTCTCAGTTTTGATTTTCAATATACATTTGTATGAAGCTTACTATTTGCTACAGGAACACCAGCAAACAATGAAATTTTTGAAGTAATGAATAAATATTAATCCTAAATTTCAAAGCAGGACATCATACCAATTTAATATCTTTCAACCTCTTAGATGCATATTATGTCATATACACTTAATGGAGTCTATTTCTGTTGTGAAATTCATTCTTAGCTTTTATGATAGAATTAAATTTATTAGTATTTCATGCTATTTCTGAATAGGAATAGTATTTTGCTATTCCTGCAAAAAGTGTGACACTTCATAAAAAAATAGCATAACTTCTTGGTCCTTTACCAGCAGAAATATGAAAAATTGTTTCAGGAGATCTGAAAGTTGTATTAAAATATGCTTGGTAACTAAGTAGAAGTCGATGAGAATTTTGGATGTAATTTAAACTAACTGGGTTTTATAAATCCATTACTTTTTGTACTGGGTTACTTTTTTCACCACTTCCCACAGTTTTCCTTTTATACATTATTGAGATATAATTGAAATAAGCACACATATTTAAAATGTACAATTAGATGAGTTTTAATGTACACACATGAAGTCATTACCACAATCAACATATAGTGAACATTTCCATCTCTTCAAAAAATTTCCCCATGCCTTTTATAAACCATCCTTCTACCCCTGGCCTCAGGCAACCATGGATCTATATTCTGAAACTATAGATCAGTTTGAATCATCTAGCACTTTATATAAATAAAATTATACAGTATGTTCCCAATTCTTTTTGCCTGGCTTATTTCATCTAGCATAAGTTTGAGATTCACCAAGGTGGTTTCACAGATCAACAGTTCATCCCCTTTAATTGCTCAGTGGCATTCCATTGCATTGTATAGAAATACTATAATTTATTTATCCATTCACCTGTTGATGGATACTTGAGGGTTTCACACCATTTGGGGTTACTACAGATAAACCTATAATCTAAATATTCTGATGAACATGTGTTTTTGTTTCTGTTGGATAAATAAGTAGTAGTAGAA